TATACTGTACAGATATTTGTATTTATTTATCGGTTCCGTATTTTAAAAAGGAATAGCTGTTTGCAGGCTTTGAGATAATTTATTTTTTATTTATGAGTGACGCTGCACGAGTGCGTGTGTACATGCAGAGGGGTCGTGGTGCCGCACCGCCCCGCGCGTTCCAAGGCAGCTCGTTTTAATTTAACGCCTCTAGTGCGCCATCCGTGTAAATATCAGAGACGAGAAAGGAAAGTTGACGTTATTTTTTTATCGTGGAATTCAAAGAATAAAGATTTGTCCTTTTGTAACTCTGGGCTCACGTCTTGAGTTTTGGCTCCTGAATGCACCTGCACGATTTCTGGAGGTAGCACCCACAGCAGTATCATCACCCACAGCATCATCACCCTAGCAACAGCATCACCCACAGTTCTATCACTCAGCATCATCCACGGTACCATCATCCCCAGCATCATCACTCTAGCAACAGCATCATCCCCAGCATCACTCGCAGCATCACCCACAGTTCCATCGCCCACAGCATCATCACCCTAGCAACAGCATCATCCCCAGCATCACTCACAGCATCATCACCCTAGCAACAGCATCATCCCCAGCATCACTCACAGCATCATCACCCTAGCAACAGCATCATCCCCAGCATCACTCACAGCATCACCCACAGTTCCATCGCCCACAGCATCATCACCCTAGCAACAGCATCATCCCCAGCATCACTCACAGCACCATCACCCTAGCAACAGCGTCATCATCCCCTGCATCATCAATTACCCAATTGGAATATACAGCGCAATTGTCCCCTACTACGAAAATTTGGCAGGAGCCTCCTGCATAAGAGTCATGAGGCTCGGTGAGGCTTTCGTAACAAGCGGAATACTAATTTAAAATATTCACTCAGAGCAACATCATCCATAGCAACAGCATCATCCACGTCTTCCATCTCAAAAAATCACCCACGTGCATATCAACATCACCCATATCGACAGCAAATTCCACATCATCACGCATAGCAATGGCATCGCTCAGAAATAAGCGTATAATTACGACATTGAAATCCATTGATGGGGTTTGTACGACTAAATCAGTCTGCGGTGTATCCATTCCATACAGCCCAGTGCACGACTGTTGTTGTGATTCTGCACTGCGGGGAATGTTGGGTCCACGGGACCAGCCCTTGCAAAGCCACTTGAGGCGCTAGCCGTGACGTCATTCGCGTACAACCGGCGCGACGTCACCTTCTGTGCGTGACGTCACGGATCAACCCACCGGCACAATCGTCACAAGCGCGTGACGTCACTACGCCCGTGACTTCGTGCGCGGGGACCACGCTCGATGGTTCGGGTCGTGAGAATAAAAACGTAAATAAGTAATATTTTTAAAAGACTTTTTTTTACAAACACGCCTTTAATGAACTGTACCCTACTAGTAATGGCAGAACTCCACGACTCCAGGAAGTGGCCCCGAAGCTTGCCACAACGTAAGGGACCGTGGTGATTTACAGCCAACGTCAGTTCAGCGTGGACAATTAGAGCCAAGCCGAAACATAACGTGTAAAAACGATTGTGTAGACATATATATTTATAGAATATGGTATTGTCATCAGTATGACATAAGTCTAACAAGTTTGCAGTCGATACCACATTGAAGTAGGTTAAAATTGGGTTACAAGATTTGAGGATACAACAGAGTGAGTTAAATAAAAAAGCGTGTAGTAGTAGTAATAATAAAGCGTGTAGTAGTAATAATAATAAAGCGTGTAGTAGTAATAATAATAAAGCGTGTAGTAGTAATAATAATAAAGCGTGTAGTAGTAATAATAAAAAAGCGTGTAGTAGTAATAATAAAGTGTGTAGTAGTAATAATAATAAAGCGTGTAGTAGTAATAATAATAAAGCGTGTAGTAGTAATAATAATAAAGCGTGTAGTAGTAATAATAAAGTGTGTAGTAGTAGTAATAATAAAGCGTGTGGTAGTAATAATAAAAAAGCGTGTAGTAGTAATAATAATAAAGCGTGTAGTAGTAATAATAAAGCGTGTAGTAGTAATAATAATAACGCGTGTAGTAGTAATAATAATAAAGCGTGTAGTAGTAATAATAAAGCGTGTAGTAGTAATAATAATAAAGTGCGTAGTAGTAATAATAATAATAATAAAGCGTGTAGTAGTAATAATAAAGCGTATAGTAGTAATAATAATAACGCGTGTAGTAGTAATAATAATAAAGCGTGTAGTAGTAATAATAAAGCGTGTAGTAGTGATAATAATAAAGCGTGTAGTAGTAGTAATAATAAAGCGTGTAGTAGTAATAATAATAAAGCGTGTAGTAGTAATAATAAAGCGTGTAGTAGTAATAATAATAATAACGCGTGTAGTAGTAATAATAATAAAGCGTGTAGTAGTAGTAATAATAAAGCGTGTAGTAGTAATAATAATAAAGTGTGTAGTAGTAATAATAATAAAGCGTGAAGTAATAATAATAATAACGCGTGTAGTAGTAATAATAATAATAATAACGCGTGTAGTAGTAATAATAATAAAGTGTGTAGTAGTAATAACAAAGCGTAGTAGTAGTAATAATAAAAAAGCGTGAAGTAATAATAATAATAACGCGTGTAGTAGTAATAATAATAAAGCGTGTAGTAGTAATAATAATAAAGCGTGAAGTAATAATAATAATAACGCGTGTAGTAGTAATAATAATAAAGCGTGTAGTAGTAATAATAGTAAAGCGTGTAGTAGTAATAATAATAAAGCGTGTAGTAGTAATACTAATAAAGCGTGTAGTAGTAATAATAATAAAGCGTGTAGTAGTAATAATAATAAAGCGTATAGTAGCAATAATAAAGCGTGTAGTAGTAATAATAATAAAGCGTGTAGTAGTAATAATAATAAAGCGTGTAGTAGTAATAATAATAAAGCGTGTAGTAGTAATAATAATAAAGCGTGTAGTAGTAATAATAATAAAGTGTGTAGTAGTAATAATAATAAAGCGTGTAGTAGTAATAATAATAAAGCGTGTAGTAGTAATAATAATAAAGCGTGTAGTAGTAATAATAAAGTGTGTAGTAGTAGTAATAATAAAGCGTGTAGTAGTAATAATAAAGTGTGTAGTAGTAGTAATAATAAAGCGTGTAGTAGTAATAATTAAAAAGCGTGTAGTAGTAATAATAATAAAGCGTGTAGTAGTAATAATAAAGCGTGTAGTAGTAATAATAATAACGCGTGTAGTAGTAATAATAATAAAGCGTGTAGTAGTAATAATAAAGCGTGTAGTAGTAATAATAATAAAGTGCGTAGTAGTAATAATAATAATAATAAAGCGTGTAGTAGTAATAATAAAGCGTATAGTAGTAATAATAATAACGCGTGTAGTAGTAATAATAATAAAGCGTGTAGTAGTAATAATAAAGCGTGTAGTAGTGATAATAATAAAGCGTGTAGTAGTAGTAATAATAAAGCGTGTAGTAGTAATAATAATAAAGCGTGTAGTAGTAATAATAAAGCGTGTAGTAGTAATAATAATAATAACGCGTGTAGTAGTAATAATAATAAAGCGTGTAGTAGTAGTAATAATAAAGCGTGTAGTAGTAATAATAATAAAGTGTGTAGTAGTAATAATAATAAAGCGTGAAGTAATAATAATAATAACGCGTGTAGTAGTAATAATAATAATAATAACGCGTGTAGTAGTAATAATAATAAAGTGTGTAGTAGTAATAACAAAGCGTAGTAGTAGTAATAATAAAAAAGCGTGAAGTAATAATAATAATAACGCGTGTAGTAGTAATAATAATAAAGCGTGTAGTAGTAATAATAATAAAGCGTGAAGTAATAATAATAATAACGCGTGTAGTAGTAATAATAATAAAGCGTGTAGTAGTAATAATAGTAAAGCGTGTAGTAGTAATAATAATAAAGCGTGTAGTAGTAATACTAATAAAGCGTGTAGTAGTAATAATAATAAAGCGTGTAGTAGTAATAATAATAAAGCGTATAGTAGCAATAATAAAGCGTGTAGTAGTAATAATAATAAAGCGTGTAGTAGTAATAATAATAAAGCGTGTAGTAGTAATAATAATAAAGTGTGTAGTAGTAATAATAATAAAGCGTGTAGTAGTAATAATAATAAAGCGTGTAGTAGTAATAATAATAAAGCGTGTAGTAGTAATAATAAAGCGTGTAGTAGTAATAATAATAAAGTGTGTAGTAGTAATAATAATAAAGCGTGTAGTAGTAATAATAAAGCGTGTAGTAGTAATAATAATAAAGTGTGTAGTAGTAATAATAATAAAGCGTGTAGTAGTAATAATAATCATAAAGTGTGTAGTAGTGATAATAATAAAAAAGCGTGTAGTAGTAATAATAATAAAAAAAGTCTGTAGTAGTAATAATAAAGCGTGTAGTAGTAATAATAAAGCGTGTAGTAGTAATAATAATAAAGCGTCTAGTAGTAATAATAATAAAGCGTGTAGTAGTAATAATAAAGCGTGTAGTAGTAATAATAATAAAGCGTCTAGTAGTAATAATAATAAAGCGTGTAGTAGTAATAATAAAGCGTGTAGTAGTAATAATAAAGCATGTAGTAGTAATAATAATAAAACGTGTAGTTATCCGGCTTGACCACCTGAATGTTTAGTTCAGTTTACAACCGTGAAATTCACAGCTGTCAACCCATACGGGTTGCCCCGTATTCTTGTACAGGGAAATTGAGTTTTTCAGGTCCAGACGGCGTACAGCCGTTTCAATACGGGCAAAAAAATTGTCTTTGTGTTTCTCCCTTGTGATGGGACTTTGTAGGATGGACGTTGAGATTTATAATGTCACGGGGTGACCAGTAAGGTCTGAATCGGTCTGTAATAAGGTAGGACACTGATAAGGAGTTGACAGGTGATGGACATTGCCGCTGCCTCGACCTCAGCCACGCGAATGAAGAAGCAGAAGCGTTACATGACGTCACGACCCGCATTGAACGGCGGTTGCGTCAGTCGAGAGAAGTGACGTCACCGCCCAGCTGCAACCGCCGCCGCCCACGTGGAGAAGACCGAGCGAGTTTCCCGACACTACCACGCGCGTGTGTGTTGGTGTGTGTGTTGGTGTGTGTTGGCGTGTTGGTGTGTGTGTGCGCGTGGTCGAGAGATCGCGTAGAAGACTGCCGAGCGAGCACCATGACGGCTCCTTCTGCCCCCGTGGACGCGCGGCTGCTGCAGGTGGCGGGGCTGAGCGAGGCCAAGGCGCTGGAGACGCTCAAGAACGCGCCGCTCGCGGCCGCCCTGGGCCTCGCCGTGCGGCAGGTGAGGGGGGCGGCCGGGGAGGTTCGCGAGGAGGCCGAGGGGGACCCAAGGGGATGAGGGCAAGGTGGGGGTTTGGGGGGTGCAGTCTCGTCGGCTGAAGTGTCACACTCGTCATTCGCTTCTTCACCAGAGAGCAAGGCTGTCTGACAGCAAGGCCCCCGTGATTCACAGGCGTAGGCTGCGCTCATAACACCGCGAGTGAGTGAGTGAGTGGCGCAGCCTTCGATGTTTTGGCTCGCACGGTCGCTCCTCGAGGCTGTTTTGTATATTGCGGCTCCACTTTTCCTCATCGCAATCGTTACGCTCGCGGTCAAGAACATTGAACGCTGTGGGGGCGCTCCGTCATCGCAAAATGCAGTCACTGCAGCTCGCGTCGTGGTGGTTGTTTATCAAGGGGGGCCCCAACTCGTAGCTTTGGTCACGGGGGGGGGGGGGGGGGGGGGGCAAGGCACCCCCTGCCTGCCCCACGCCACGAGGTCTTTAACGTCCAGCGTTGGAGCAGACGGCGTGTGTAGTATGGTTAAAACACACGGCAGTATTAAGCAGGGCGGCCGCTGCATTAGAACCGCCGCGAACCTCTGCTGTTCACACACGTGCCATAGCACCCATCACTCAATTTTGATGTCTAATTTTACTAATTAATCCCAGCCAACTTTTATTACAGAAAATTGTATTAAATATTGTTGAATATTCAGTAAGTTGGTTTTTTTTGCTCTAAAATATGCAGTTGTTTTTGCTCTAATATCTTGTTTGTTCGTGTTTATTTAGTAAAAACAAACCTCTGATTCACTCGCACCCCTCCACCACCCTCGACTCTTGAGCCCTCCCTCAGCCGCTCAGGCAAACCAAAAAAAAACCACGAAAACGCCACTGTGCCGACTCTCGCTTTGCCCCTCGCCCGGCCCTTGACGTCTCCCAGGCTCAGGAGGCGTCTGCAGACGGCGCAGTGGACCGCGCCATGGGGACGCTGCTGTACGGCGCAGCGAGCCGCGGCCGCGACCTGCGGCGCTTCCCCACCCTGGCCACCTACATCGGGTCCCGCCGCATCGCCTCCGAGATCCAACTCGGAGGTGAGGCCCGGGGAGCTCGCCGCCGTCAACCCGTACGGTTCCCTCCGGCGCCTTGCACGGGGAAATTGAGGTGTCGGGTCCCATACGGCGTACAGCCGTTTCAGTAATGTTTTGTTGTCTATTTGTTTGTGTTTCGCCCTTGTGATGGGACTCTGTAGGATGAACTTGGGGCTTTATAAGTGGCACGGGGTGACCAATAAGGCCTGAATTGGTCTGTAATAAGGTAGGGCACTGATAAGGGGTTGACAGGTGATGGGATCGCCCTCAAGTCTCTTATGTAGATGTATATAGCGTCTAGTTCCGAGGTGCTTGACAACAATTACTAAATTGTACGTACAATTAGTTTAACACGTAGGCTTTCGCGACCAATATTATTCATAATAAAGGTTTTTGGGTTAGATCGCGTTTATTTATAAATGTGTCGTAACCCTCCACCACCCGACACGGCCAATCAGCAAAAAAAAAGGTGTCACGTTGACAAAAGACAAATAATTCACTACTTCAGCCCACCGGTGTGTTGAAGAGTTAATCCACATTTACAGTTTGAGTACGACGTTTCGCTGGTAAATACATCCAGCATCATCAAGCAATTCGCCATTCTGGCGAATTGCTTGATCAAGCAATTCGCCATTCTATTATTTGTCTTTTGTCAACGTGACACCTTTTTTTTTGCTGATTGGCCGTGTCGGGTGGTGGAGGGTTACGACACATTTATAAATAAACGCGATCTAACCCAAAAACCTTTATTATGAATGTACGTACAATGACAGTGTGTCTTGATGATGGATGGCGTTATTATTAAAAGTGGTGGTGTAGTTATGGTAACAGGAGGACAGGTGAGATAGGTTAAGGAGGGGTTGAGGTAGTGATAGGTGTGGGGTAGTAATAGGGGTAGTGATAGGGGTTGGGGTAGTGATAGGGGAAGGGATAGGGGCTGGGGTAGGGGCTGGGGTAGGCCTGGTCGTAGCTGGGGGGCAGGTAGTAGCAGTAGCAGGATGGGCTCGGGACAAGAGAGTTGGCTTTTAAGGGAGGAACGGAAGCAGGCTTGGGACCTGGCACCTGGCCTCACGTCGTGGGTTCTGGGTTCACGGTTTAGTGCATGGGGAAGATGTTGCCCAGATGACAGGCGTGGAGAGTCAAGACGTGTAGGGGAGGAGAACGCGTGCCCGCGATCAGTCACAACTCTCTAGGGGTTTGCACGCTCCTTGCCAGCGTCTGGCGCACACCCACACTGCACTCTTTACCATTGTGAAGTGTTTGCCAAAAAGAGCTGGAGGATGTCGGAACCAATTTAGGGTGAGTCCGCGTCGAGGTGGGATGTGAGAGGCAGACGTGACGGTGGGTTCACCGAGTCTACGGCAGTGTCGAGCTGCGTGTCGTCACCGGGGAAGCGATAGTTTATCCTCAAACTGGGGAACAGTTTGCCGAGCGGGAAGAGATGCACTGGGAAGAGCAGCGGTGTCAGGATGGGATTTTGTGGCACACCATAGCACAGGGGTTATTCAGGGGAACACAGTCCTTGTGTGGAAACAGCAACGGAGCAGTTTGAGAAGTGAAAACCGAAACAAGGAAAGAGAAGTTGGTCGGATATGCCTACACAGTTATGGAGGCGCTCAAGGAGGGTTGAGTGGTTTACAATGTAAAACATTGCACAGAGGTCAAAGAGAACTGTAAGTGAGAGGGGATTCAAGGTGTTTCGATAGAAGGTCATTGACCACACAGTTGAAAAGTTTATTGTTCAACTGTGTGGTAAATGACCTTGAATCGGGTTTCATCAACAATACAGAAAAAACTGTACAATTCAAAACACAACGTTTGCAACAGGCTGCATACAAATTATAAATACAATAACTACAGCAATGAAAAAAGTCATCAAATCATTTATTTTTACAATATATTACTTAATTATAATCTTGATTTGCAGCTTTCGTGACTGCAGGAATCCATAATCTTTGGTTCTTTCGGTAACGTCACGTAGCTAGGAAAATAATAATAGATCACGACATTTCGATCGCAACACAAGCAACCGTCTTCGGGTGGGAGTGATAATGATAGGGGTTGGGGTAGTGATAGGGGTTGGGGTAGTGATAGGTGTTGGGGTTGTTATAGGGGTAGTGATAGGGGTAGTGATAGGGGTTGGGGTAGTAATAGGTGTTGGGGTAGTGATAGGGGTTGGGGTAGTGATAGGGGTTGGGATAGTGATAGGGGTAGTGATCGGGGTTGGGGTAGTTATAGGGGTTGGGGTAGTGATAGGGGTAGTGATAGGTGTTGGGGTAGTGATAGGGGTAGTGATAATGATAGGGGTAGTGATAGTGATAGGGGTAGTGATAGGGGTTGGGGTAGTGATAGGGGTAGTTATAGTGATAGGGGTAGTGATAGTGATAGGGGTAGTGATAGGGGTTGGGGTAGTGATAGGGGTAGTGATAGGTGTTGGGGTAGTGATAGGGGTTGGGGTAGTGATGGGGGTTGGGGTAGTGATAGGGGTTGGGGTAGGGGCTGGGGTAGTGATAGGGGTTGGGGTAGTGATAGTGATAGGGGTTGGGGTAGTGATAGGGGTTGGGGTAGTGATAGGGGTAGTGATAGGGGTTGGGGTAGAATCAGAATCAGAATCAGAAAGGGTTTTATTCGCCATGTAAGTTCACACCGACACGGAATTTACTTTGGCAGGATGGTGCATACATTCAACATATAGGAATCTAAAATCTTAAATAAGTTTTAAACAAGTCTTACTATAATAAGGGTTAAAAGTCTAACATTAAGGGGCTGAAATATATAAAATTAAATAAAATTGTGATAGGGGTTGGGGTAGTTATAGGGTTGGGGTAGTGATAGGGGTAGTGATAGGTGTTGGGGTAGTGATAGGGGTAGTGATAGTGATAGGGGTAGTGATAGTGATAGGGGTAGTGATAGGGGTAGTGATAGGTGTTTGATTAGGGGCTGAGGTAGTGATAGGGGTTGGGGTAGTGATAGGGGTTGGAGTAGTGATAGGGGTAGTGATAGGGGTAGTGATAGGGGTTGGGGTAGTGATAGGGGTTGGGGTAGTGATGGGGGTTGGGGTAGTTATAGGGGTTGGGGTAGTGATAGGGGTTGGGGTAGTGATAGGGGTAGTGATAGGGGTTGGGGTAGTGATAGGGGTGGTGATAGTGATAGGGGTTGGGGTAGTGATAGGTGTTGGGGTACTGATAGGGGTTGGGGTAGTGATAGGGGTTGGGGTAGTGATAGGGGTAGTGATAGGGGTTGGGGTAGTTATAGGGGTTGGGGTAGTGATAGGGGTTCGGGTAGTGATAGGGGTTGGGGTAGTGATAGGGGTTGGGGTAATGATAGCAGTTGGGGCAGTGATAGGGGTTGGGGCAGTGATAGGGGTTGGGGTAGTGATAGGGGTAGGGGTAGTGATAGGGGTTGGGGTAGTGATAGGGGTTGGGGTAGTGATAGGGGTTGGGGCAGTGATAGGGGTTGGGGTAGTGATAGGGGTTGGGGTAGTGATAGGGGTTGGGTAGTGATAGGGGTTGGGGCAGTGATAGGGTTTGGGGTCGTGATAGGGGTTAGGGTAGTGATAGGGGTTGGGGCAGTGATAGGGGTTGGGGTAGTGATAGGGGTTGGGGTAGTGATGGGGTAGTGATAGGGGTTGGGGTAGTGATAGGGGTTGGGGTAGTGATAGGGGTAGTGATAGGGGTTGGGGTCGTGATAGGGGTTGGGGTAGTTATAGGGTTGGGGTAGTGATAGGGGTAGTGATAGGTGTTGGGGTAGTGATAGGGGTAGTGATAGTGATAGGGGTAGTGATAGTGATAGGGGTAGTGATAGGGGTAGTGATAGGTGTTTGGTTAGGGGCTGAGGTAGTGATAGGGGTTGGGGTAGTGATAGGGGTTGGAGTAGTGATAGGGGTAGTGATAGGGGTAGTGATAGGGGTTGGGGTAGTGATAGGGGTTGGGGTAGTGATGGGGGTTGGGGTAGTTATAGGGGTTGGGGTAGTGATAGGGGTTGGGGTAGTGATAGGGGTAGTGATAGGGGTTGGGGTAGTGATAGGGGTGGTGATAGTGATAGGGGTTGGGGTAGTGATAGGTGTTGGGGTACTGATAGGGATTGGGGTAGTGATAGGGGTTGGGGTAGTGATAGGGGTAGTGATAGGGGTTGGGGTAGTTATAGGGGTTGGGGTAGTGATAGGGGTTCGGGTAGTGATAGGGGTTGGGGTAGTGATAGGGGTTGGGGTAATGATAGCAGTTGGGGCAGTGATAGGGGTTGGGGAAGTGATAGGGGTTGGGGTAGTGATAGGGGTTGGGGTAGTGATAGGGGTTGGGGTAGTGATAGGGGTTGGGGTAGTGATAGGGGTTGGGGCAGTGATAGGGGTTGGGGTAGTGATAGGGGTTGGGGTAGTGATAGGGGTTGGGTAGTGATAGGGGTTGGGGCAGTGATAGGGTTTGGGGTCGTGATAGGGGTTAGGGTAGTGATAGGGGTTGGGGCAGTGATAGGGGTTGGGGTAGTGATAGGGGTTGGGGTAGTGATGGGGTAGTGATAGGGGTTGGGGTAGTGATAGGGGTTGGGGTGGGGGCTGGAGTAGGCCTGGTCGTAGCTCGGGGGCAGGGAGTAGCAGTAGCAAGATGGGCTCGGGACAGGAGAGGAGATTGTTTTTAAGGGAGGAGCTGAAGAAGGCTTAGGACCTTCAGCGTTTGAGAACTGGATACTAGGTTTAGGGTCTAAGTTCTCGGACCTGAATTCTGGCCACGTTGCTGTGTCGTGGGACCTGAACTGCTTGATTCTTCGGCACACACGCGGATGTAGAGCGCTGTCTCGCAAGAACACGGGCACATAGCTCCAGCTGGACATCGCCCCTCGCACACACAGCCACATCCTGGTCACGTGCAACAACAACAACTCGAGCCGTTGATCGTCGCTAAGTGGCAGTGATGTCAACATGGCCGCTTGTGTGGCAATGAAAACCGTGAATCATCATGAAAAGTAATAATCACACTCGCCAGTAAACAGTTTTGGTGCAACAAGTTAAACCGCCACCGCGTTAAACATTACATCAGTGAATGTATTAACAGCAAGAATGTTGTGGCGTTACAAATTACAATGCGGAGTTAAACATTCCGCAAGCATGCCTCGGCCCCAGTAGCGCATGCACAGATACATGAGTAAAAGTGCACACACAACACAAGGCTCCCCCCCTATCGCCTTGACAATTAAACACATTATCTGTCGATGCTGCTGCTGTGTTGTCAGTGACGCACAAGCACAATTAACAACTCGACACATTCGTCCATAACGCTGTGGCACTCAAAGAGGGGGAAAAAAAAACGATAATAGGCGACGTATTGGGCTGTGGGATATCTTCACAGTACATAGCTGCCAGAGAGGTCAGAAGATGGAGTGAAGAATGTTTGGGGACTGCTCTATATACCACGTGGCCCTGGTAAAACAAATGCAGTGAGGTCCGCGTTTGACGCGGTAGATGCGTTCCTGAAAAGTGCCGCGATAAGCGAAGAATACGTGAAGCGAAAATCAGTTCTCCATAAATAACGTAACGATAAAGTTTGGTGAGATACAACTACGCACATACGCAATGAGATGGCGGGACAAATGACTGATGGTACACCACCGTGTTACTGTTTCATTCCGCGTACTGTACTGCCCCGCTCAGCCCAAGAAAGTAGTTCATTGTTTACCGTTCATAAACCACGCTATAACGGTGGGCGCGTTCCACGTTATAACTGCGGGTGCATTAAGCGTTATAACTGTGGGCGCGTTCCACGTTATAACTGTGGGGGTGTTCCACGTTATAACTGTGGGTGTGTTCCACGTTATAACTGTGGGTGCGTTAAGCGTTATAACTGTGGGTGCGTTCCACGTTATAACTGTGGGCGCGTTCCACGTTATAACTGTGGGCGCGTTCCACGTTATAACTGTGGGTGTGTTCCACGTTATAACTGTGGGTGCATTAAGCGTTATAACGGTGGGCGCGTTCCACGTTATAACTGTGGGCGCGTTCCACGTTATAACTGTGGGTGTGTTCCACGTTATAACTGTGGGCACGTTCTACGTTATAACTGTGGGTGCGTTAAGCGTTATAACTGCGGGCGAGTTCCACGTTATAACTGTGGACGTGTTCCACGTTATAACTGTGGGTGCGTTAAGCATTATAACTGTGGGCGTGTTCCACGTTACAACTGTTGGTGTGTTCCACGTTATAACTGCGGGCGCGTTGCACGTTATAACTGCGGGTGCATTTAGCGTTATAACTGTGGACGTGTTCCACGTTCCCAAATAGAAGAACCGCGTTATAGCGAAAACGCATTGTGGCGTGAACAACTGCGCATTAAGCGAGGAAGTTACACAGACTGCTCAGGCGAATGCTGTTAACGAGCACCGATTAACGAGCACCTGTTAACGAGCACCTGTTAACGAGCACCTGTTAACTGTTACAGCTGGCACGGTGCACTAGGAGGCGGTGCGGTCAGCTCTAACGCCCGGCCGTCCTTCACCTCCCCCGCTGAGAATCGATTTGAAGCGATGACTCGATCGGCACGTTAACCGGTAAACTTGTTGTGATGGGGAAATTTCCATCAGAGCATTCTGTCCTAGCGAGTACAATGCAGGACAGAATGTGGAGCGCGCGGCGGGTCCGTTCCGGTTTTTGAATTCACGTGCTCAGAATGTTTCTTGTTTGGCCCCCAGAATAGCCCAGCCAGCCTGCGAGTGGCCCTGCACATTTAAGAACATTCCCTTTCACTGCGACCTGTGAGTGTAAACAGAAGGTGCTGTGGTTGTCACGTCGGGGCGCAGACACGCGCGCACACACGTACACGCGCAGAGCACGCGCACAATGCGGCGGGAGGCTAGCTGCTCGCGAGAGCGGAACGTGCGCGCGCAGTCACCGTGAGTTTGGTGAAAGCCGTCGTCTCACCTCGGGGTTGGGGGGAGGGGTCTTGGACGTCTCGGCCAATCGCTACCACTCTTGCATGCGCCCTGCGGGTGCATGTGTAAAGAGCACCTAGCCTGGCACGAGTGTCGTGTGATGCCGTCACCTCCGACAGACTATACGGGGGATCTTTGTCTTTGTTCTTGGCAAATGCTGCTGCTGCTGCTGCTGTTGTTGTTGATGGGAACACTGCCATTGTAGCACCCGGTAACCTGAGTTCGATTCCCGGCCGTGGCCAATGCAAGTCGTGAATATCTGAAGCGGTCTGAAGCGGGCCTGCCTGAGGTCAACTCGGCCTTAAAATTAGTACAGCACTTGCCCCAGCAGTCTGTTCAGGCTATACGGGGGATCTTTGTCTTTGTTGTATGTGTCAGTATGTCTCAGTGTCTGCACACACGAGCATCTATCTGTCTCTGCGTTTTTGTAACGGCAGCTGCCCCAGCAGTGCGTTTAACGTGACACGTGAGTGGGGGGGGCGATCTCTGTGCTTGCTGCGTGGTTCCAGCGGCGCTGGAGTACCTCAAGAGCCACCCGCTGGAGCCGCTTGCCGTGGAGGAGTTTGAGAGGGCGTGCGGCGTGGGCATTGTGGTGACGCCGGAGCAGATCGAGGAGACCGTGAGTGTGCCGTCTGACGGGCACCGTCACCGCCTCCCATCACCGCACCGCCACTATACCTCCATCACACCACCACCGCACGCACCACCACCGCACCGCCACCACACCGCCACTGTACCTCCATCGCACCACCACCGTCACCATATCTCCACCGCACTGCCACCACACTGCCACCGTACCTCCACAATCGTGCTATGTAACCTACTTGTGTGCTGTCTGGTGGTGGTGGTGCAACAGGTAGAGGGAGTCATCAAAAAGTACAAGTCACAGCTGCTGGAGGAGCGATACCACTTCAACATGGGCCTCATCATGGGTGCGGCCTTCACACGCATCACCAGAGACCCCGAGTGTCTGTTCTAGAGCGTCTCTATCACAGTGCCTGTGCTGGAGTGTCTGTTTTAGAGTGTGTGGGGAGCGGTGGCGTAGTGGTTCGTACACGGCGACCCCAGTTCGGTTCCCGCTCACAACATGTAAGTGACGAATGTTTGAACTGGTCCTGGTCGACTCAGCTTTAAATGAGTGCTTGGTGCGGGTTCTAAACACGGGCACTGGGAAGTCAAAGGCAGCCAGGCGTGGTGTTGGCCATCCACCTCCTACTGTGATATGCCGGCCTTTATACGTACTTACTAAAAGCACTTGCCCCAACAGTGTTAAAGGCTACATGGGGGGATCTCTGTTCCAGGGTGTCTCTCGCAGTGTGCCAGGATAAGGGTGCCTGTCACGTTCGCTCTTCTACACGCGTCACGAGATGTCCACTCGTTACAACAACCCCTGCGCTTTGCATGAAACATGCAGACTGGCCCCGCTTGCAAAATCCTTCCAGACTGGAGCTCGCACATCCTTTAAAAACATTTTTTTTGTTTTTTTACCAGATAAGGCCCCACTGAGCTATAGAGATCTTTTTCAGAAGTGACTTGGCCACACATGATAGCTCAACGAAGAGGCTTATCACGTGGGAATGTGTACCAGCCAAATCCTCTAAACACGTGATGTTGAGTCTAAATCTGGAGGGAAACAGCGGAGGACCAGGAGAATAAACTCCTTAGAAAAACTTTTTTTAAAACAACGGTTTTATTTTAAAGTGCACTAAAAAGTAAATAACTCGATTGGACAACGGGAAGTGGACGACATCTTGATGACAAGAGACGCGTGGCGCCTGCTTCTTGGGCGAGGCAATTCCACAGTTTAGGGACCGTGGCGTTTTTGACCTACACAAATAAATATTTAATTAATAAGCCATCCATACAAAATATAAATTGCTTTAAAAGAGCCAATTAATTGATTAATTTGATACAGGCACGCATTGTCACCGGATCTGAGTACGTGTGCAAAATTTGGAATTCATTGGACAACAGGAGGTAGACTACATTTTTATTACAAGATTTGACCACGACAAACAGGAGTCAAGTTAAGTAAAACCGTTGAAAAATGTACACGACCACGGGGAGAAAGAACGTGAAAACTCCAAATATACAGACGTCGGGGTCGGGATCGAGCCCACGACCTCCTGTATACCGGGCGAGGTAGTTAACATCTCCTAGGCGGCGGTGGCCGTTGTTGTTTCTGCTGCTGCTGGCAGTGTCTGTGTGGCGTTGCGCCGTGTCCGGGGCTGACTCCGCGCTGACCGCTCCCCCTCCCCCGTCGTGTTTGTCGTGGGTGCAGCCGAGACGCGGGGCCTCTTGAAATGGGCCGACGGCAAGATTTTGAAAAACGAGGTGGACGTGCAGGTGAGGCAGAGACCCGCCCCGCGCGTTCCGCGAATGATCTCATCGCGAGCCTTCCGATGGAGCGCTGCGGCTGAGCTCCCTCTTTGTTTTTGAGGTCTCCCATGCCGGCTGTGGGGCAGGAAGATGACGACCCGAGGCACGGGGGGGGGGGGGCCCACAGCCCATGGGCCGTATGCTGCTCACGGCCTCGCGTCACACGGCCCACGGCCATATGAAGCCTACCACCTAGAAACGGCCCGCAAGTGATATTTATCCAGGGAATGTTTTACACTTGGCATCAGCGCAGTGTTTTCTGATTTTATCTCCACGCTTGGTCACTTTTTGTCACTGCAAGGGTCTCTGCAATCAATCAACTGGCACGTCATTGTTTGCGTTATTGTTGGGTAACGCGGGGGTTGCTTGTTCACGAGTGGTGGCACACCAAAGCAAGTTGAATATTCTATTCATCGCTCGCACAGGAGAATGTTTCGACCCATCCCTCTTCTGAGCCTCCTTCCCCACGAATCATCTCTCCCCACCGGGCCCTCTTGGCCACCGGCCTTGTCTCGTTGTGTCTCGCCAGGTCCTCAATATGCTTGGTCCCAAGACGGAGAGTGACCGCGAGAAGAAGCAGAAGGTCAGTAGGTCACGGGGGTCACCGGTTTAGTGAGACATGCCGAGCATGCCGCGCGTCTCAGGTTGTGCGCGCTTGCGTCGGTGTTAGCGTGGGAATGCGTGCGGGTGGCCTCGCTTGCGGAAGAGACTCCAACCTCGAGGGGTTCTCGCCTGGTTAAAAATAAAGTTGACGTGTTGGGAGTGCGTGGGTGTAGGAGGGGGGAGTTGACGTGCTGCGTAGCTGTGTACGTGTGAATCAAAGTTCTGTGGGTGTCTTCAGTTTTTGTGTCTGTAAGTGAATGTGTGTGTGTCTTGTGTGCATGATAGACGGTGTGGATAACTATAGGCTGCTTGTGAGATGTGTGGACGGTTGTGAATGTTTGATGGGTGGTGTGGTTGTCTGCAGGCTGTGTGTGTGTGTGGGGTGGTGGTCTGCAGGCTGTGTGTGTGTGTGGTGGTTGTCTGCAGGCTGTGTGTGTGGGTGTGGTGGTTGTCTGCAGGCTGTGTGTGTGGGTGGGGTGGTGGTCTGCAGGCTGTGTGTGTGGGTGGGGTGGTGGTCTGCAGGCTGTGTGTGTGGGTGGGGTGGTTGTCTGCAGGCTGTGTGTAAGAGGTTGCGGTGGTGCTGCAGGCGCTGCCACTACCTCACCGCTGTAACGTACCTCAACGTCCCTCCCCCCACCCAACCGTGCAGCCACAGAAGCCGAAGGCCGAGAAGGAGGCGCCGGCAGGGAGCGTCTCCGCTCCCACCGTGAACGGTGCGGTCGCCGGGGCGGGGTGCCACCAGCGCACGGCTGGAAGTGTCGCGCCCACTCTTGGGCCAACGAAGACGCGCGCACGCTCTCATGTCTGTGTGTGTGTGTGCGTTGGTACTTATGTAGTGGGTTAAATTCAGGCGCACACTGGACTTTGGAGGCAACGCTATTTATTAGCTAACACAACAGGTAACACTTCACATAACGACTTAAGGGGGTAGTCACCGTTCCTAACTTGGCTAACCCACGGGAGTACTACATCACTGGAGCAGGACAGTCCAACACGCTGCCTGGTCCACTAGCGGAGACCGGACAGCTTCATCCCAGAGATGACCCAGCAGAACAGCACGGAACAGCCCAGCTCGCCGTCCACACCCCGCTGACAACCACTCCGGCGTGGCCGGCTCCACCCCCGGCCACGTCCCCCGATCCTTCGGGAAGGCCCGAGCCCCCAACCACGTGACCCCACAACCACGTGACCGCCCTGGGGCCCCTGGCCCCCCTTTATCCAGTCACGTGTCCTGTTGGGTTCACGCAGAGTGTCACGGCCTGACACGACCTCCGTGACACCCGCCTACAGCCCCCATACCGAGCCAACACAGTAGTGTCGTTCTACTACACTACACTTATATGGGTGAGGAGCGGTAGTGGAGCGGTTAGCGCTACGCTGCGCTACGAACCCCGCAAGCCGAGTTCGATTCCCACTGTCGGCCAACACCGGTGATGATTATCTGAACCGGTCCTGGGATTCCTCTCAGTCGACTCGGCCTTAAATGAGTAGCTGCTGTGGTGTGTACACATCGCCACTCGAGAGACAAAGGCGGCCGGGAATGGTGCTGACCACTCACCTCCTCGTGTGCCGTGCCGGCCTTAATAGGTGCCTGCTAACAGCACTTGTCCCAACAGTCTGTTAAGGCTATACGCGGGACCTTTGTCTTTGTTGGCGTGTGTAGGTGAGGCTCCCGTGCAGTGCCTTTCTCTGATGGAGCAGCTGCGTGGGGCTTCCCTCAACTTCCACAAGCCCGGTGAGCGATGACGGTGATGTGGTGTGTGCGTGTGTGCGTGTGGTAAGCAGTTGTGCAGCAGTTAGCACGCTGGATTACAAACTTAGAGACCCGAGTTCGATTCCTGCTCACGACCAACATCAGTGACCATTATCTGAACCAGTGCATGTGTGTGTGTACACGTATCTGTGTGTGCATGTATGTGTACACTGAACGGTGTGCCACCTGTGTGTGTGTGTATGGTGTATCACCTGTGTGTGTACACTAAATGGTATATCACCAGTGTGCGTGTGTGTACACTGGATGGTTTACCATCCGTGTGTACACTGGATGGTGTACCACCGGTGTGTGTGTGTACACTTGAAGCTGTGCACTCGCTATGACGTGTAAAGTCTCCCTGTCGCGTGTGGCTTCGCTCCCCTCCCCGCCCCCACCAGGTGAGAACTACAAGACAGAGGGCTACGTGGTGACGCCACACACCACGCGAATACTGCAGGAGCACCTGGCAAGGACCGGGGGACAGGTGAGACCGCACCGCAGCTCCCGCAACATCACCGGGTCGTCCACGCGCCACGCCGCAGCTGGGATTGAGCGCTGTGCGGTCCCCACTCCCTTCCCACCCCCCCCCATCCAGGTGCGCACACGCTTTCCTCCCGAACCCAACGGCATCCTGCACATCGGCCACGCCAAGGCCATCAACTTCAATTTCGGCTTCGCCAAGGTACTGCGCGGGCGTAGCCGGGCGGTTGCAGTTGCCCGCCGGCACCATTCATCGTCCCATCCAATCTCCACCGGTCTCTCTCTGTGCCTCCCTGGGCCATGCGCCCAGTCATGCTGCGGTTTGTTTCCCCTTCTTGCTCCCCATCACTGGAACCAACTCCCACTGCACATGAAACATAATCACCTTCACTCACCTGCTTCCGTTCCTCCCTTCAAACCCATCTCTTCTCGCTTGGCTATCCTACTGCTACTCCCAAACTCCCGCCCCCTAAGCTTTGACCGAGCCTACCCCAACCCCCCCCCCCCCCTTAACCACTCCCAACTGTCCTCCTTTCTGTCACCACAACCGCACCGCGCACCACGACGCAGCCGCGGCAGGCAGAGCAGCACCGGGTCCTGGTCCTGGGTCTCCGCTAGGTTGACTCGGCCTCAATTACCTGGCGCGCGCCGGGGAGCTCGTCGCCCGCTCGTGCGCGATGCCAGCCATCGTCGTAGGTGCTCACCGGCGGCACGTGCCGCGGCAGCCTGAGTAGGCCGCACGGGGTGGGAGGGGGGGGGGACTCTGCCCGTGCTCGTGGTGGCAATTAACGACTTGGTCTCCCCGTGGCCCCCCCCCCGTCAGGCGAACGGAGGGATCTGCTTCCTGCGTTACGACGACACGAACCCCGAGAAGGAGGAGGAGAAATACTTCCGTGGGATCCGAGACATGGTGGAGTGGCTCGGTAAGAACGGTCGAAATATCGCGCTCCCCGCTGTGCTTCGATGTCCCGTCCGTCACGTTCCCATCGCGCTCCGCCTCCCCCACCCCCCTGCGCCGACTCCGATTGTGACGTCGGCGCCGTCTCGCCTCCCCTCCCCGCAGGGTACATCCCCTACGCGGTGACCCACGCCTCCGACCACTTCCAGCAGCTCTACGTCTGGGCCGTGGAGCTCATCAAGAGGTCGCCGTGCTGCCCATCGCGCTCTGTAGCGTGCACGCCCCCCTCACCCTGACCTACGCACGGTAACCCCGAGCCCCGGCGCGGGGAACCCGTGGCCCACGTGCCGTTCCTCACCCGTGCCTAACCCGTCGCCTCGTCGTCCGCAGGGGCCACGCGTACATCTGCCACCAGAAGTCGGAGGAGCTGAAGGGATACAGCGTCGTTGCGTCTCCGTGGAGGGACCGCCCCGTCGCCGAATCTCTGCGTCTCTTCGAGGTGAAGGACGCTCGGCCCTGACGGTCCCCACGCCGCCGTCCCGCACGATCCGGGCGGCTGCGACGTCGTGGCGCTCCCGCCACGCGAGATCCGCAAACGCGTTCCAACGGGGGCGACCCGCCGCGGAGATGGAGCGATGAGATCGGTTCATTTAGCGGGAGTGATAAAAATGGTAGCAGCGCATTTGCTTAGCCACCTCGTCTGACGCAACGTCACGAGTGACCTCCCTCCCTCCGTGTTCCGCCGCTTGCGCCGCAGGACATGCGCAAGGGGAAGTTTGCGGAGGGGGAGGTGACGCTGAGGATGAAGCTGGTGATGGAGGACGGCAAGATGGACCCCGTGGCGTACCGCATCAAATACACGCCGCACCACCGCACCGGGGACACGTGGTGAGCTACGTCATCGCACAACCGCCACCGGCGGCACAGCCGCGAGACCTTTCGGCGTGTTTAAATGAAAACTGCCACGGCGACCACGGGAACGCGAGGGTAACGAGGAAGGAGTCCAAAGCGAGAAGCGGTTTGACCCCTCCCACACCACTCCCCCCCCCGGACCAATAATTCTGACAGGAGGCGTGTAAAAGGTGAGGACGATGATGTCGCTGCTGCTGATGATACTGATGTTGTTGTGTGGTGGTGGCAGGTGCATCTACCCCACGTACGACTACACGCACTGCCTGTGTGACTCCATCGAGGACATCACCCACTCGCTCTGCACCAAGGAGTTCCAGACCAGGTCCGTGTGTGTGCCAGCGCGCTCGCGTGCACATCCTCCCGTCGTCCCCAGCGTAAGTGTGTCGGTGTGCGCGCACTCGCACTGACGCACGCGTGTCTGCTGGGTGCAGGCGCTCCTCCTACTTTTGGCTGTGCAACGCGCTGGACCTGTACTGCCCCGTGCAGTGGGAGTACGGGCGCCTGAACCTGCATTACACCGTCGTTTCCAAGCGCAAGATCGTGCGCCTCATTGAGGAGAAGATCTGCAGGTGAAGCGCTTGCCTCAGCGGAGACAATAGCGCTCAACTCATCGTCACCGTCATCACAGGACTACACGCAGTCGCATCTCGCGGTTGGCGGAGAATCAACGCAGGGAACCCTGGAGAGAGAAAGGGGGAGGGAGTAACACTACTGCACAGCCCAGCACGGCTGCGGCGATGAGCCCCAGGGGCAGCCAGGGCAGCACCAACGAGCCCTGGGGGCATCCTAGGGTAACGAGGCCCTTCAGCCCTTCAGCCCTTGCCCCAGTCCTAATTCTGATCCTGGCCATAGCACTGCTACTAACTGTGGCTCTAACCCTCGCCCTCAATCTTGACCCTCATTCTAGCTCTATCCCTCACCTTGGCTCTAGTTGTAGCACCAATCCTAACCCTAGCCTTAACCATAACCTTAATCCCTTGCTCCTAATGTCCTAAGCTTTAACCTGTTATCCACACACAGCAGCTCGACCTCTAGCATAGCTCTAGCATTAACCCGCACTTATTCCCAATCCCTAACTCGAGTCCTGAACCTTATCCCTCATGCTCTCTCTCACATTATCTCGAATTCCTAACGCCAACAGCAGCAGTAAACCCTTATCCCCCCCTGGCCACAAAACTCTGAGCCGTACGTGCCCACAACCACTGTCCTTGACTCTGAGCTATAAACTTCAACGTTTACCGACCTGTGACCGGATGCACAGGACGCTATAAAAACCCCCTTAAAATTTGTCTTCTCTAGCGGCACAGGGTCCACCGCAAGGGGCCAGAGGAGCGGTGCGTAGCGCACTGCACGAGGCGACTTGACACATTCACCAACAACACCTTGAAGGATAAAATAAATGAGATGCGCAATGAAGAACGGTCGTTGCCCGAAACGTCACCCATGATATATTTTCCTTTTAGGACGCACAGATGGTGTTATCGACGAACGTGTTGAGTTTTTGTAGTTTTTAAATGTGCTCTTGCACCAATGGCGACGCAGCAGATTCGCCCAAATAATCACCACACTGAGTTCGATTCCTGGCGGGAGCATCTCATGACTCCATCGTCACGGCGACAAGCGGGATGCCAGAGGGCGCCACGGTGGCGAGATGTTAACTGCCTCGCCTGGTTTGCAGGAGGTCGTGGGTTCGATCCTCACCCTGACGCCTGCTGTATATTTGGAGTTTGCGTGTCTCTCTCACCGCGGCCGTGTGGATTTTTTATCCGGGTCCTCCGGTTTTTCCCTCCACATTTAGACTCAACGTCACGCTTTTAGAGTATTTGGCTGCTGCTATATCCAAGTGATGATGAGAAGCCACTTCGTTGAGCTATCATTTGTGGGCAGGTCGCTTGTGAGAAAGAGCTACGTAGGTCAGCGAGGCCTTTCCTGGTAAAATAAAAAAATACAGTTTAGTAACTAAAGAGGATTCCAAAGTGTGCGGGCTGATGCAATCGCCCTGAGCTCTGACTCAGCCCCGACCGCGCTGCCTCGGGCGGCCGCCGGCTGTAACGAGTCGCCGCTCACCGTGGCGATAACACGACTTGTCGCAGTTCAGGGTCGCAAATCGATACGCAGGATCTGTCGAGATCTGTTTATACGTTGTGGTGAACGTAGCGCCCTCTGGTGGCTGCAGCGAGGTCACGCGAAGGCAAAAGAGGCACTGTTTCGTTAAGTCCAGAGTCGGGGTTTCCACGACCCCAGTGCCCGCCGTGGCTGCCACGACGCCGCTCTAGGCGTCTCCCCCCCCTCCCCCATCTCCGAGGCCGCTCCCGCAGAGCCGGCATCCCCGCAGCGGCGCAGGCCGTGCGACTGCACCAGGAGCCCGTGGGCCGGAGGGGACCCAGCCGCTGGGTTGTACGAGGGGGGTAGAGGAACCCCGTTCCGACCACGCTTGCTCACCGCCTCCGCCGTGCCCCCCACTCCCCCACCGCCCCTCCCCTCCAGGGACTGGGACGACCCCCGGCTCTTCACGCTCACCGCGTTGCGGCGCCGTGGCTTCCCCGCTGAGGCCATCAACAACTTCTGTGCCAAGGCACGTGCACGCTGACGCACACTCATTCACTAACGCCGCACTCATTCACCAATGCTGCACTCATTCACCAACGCCGCACTCTCACGAACGTGAATTCTATCACGAACGCGACACTCACTAACACCGCACTCTTCACCACACGCTGTTAAACACGTGCGCGCATTAACGCGCACGGACACGTGTATAAGAACTCACACGTACACTTTCACATGACAGCAACCGTCATTCTCCACTCGGCTTGTGCCAAGCTAGGTGCACTTTGAGGTGTCGCGTTGTTGCCTGTGACACCTTCCTGCTCCTACCCATGCGCGCGCGTTCGCTCGCTCCGCAGGAGCAGCGCTGTATCAACGCACTGCGTGCGTGCGTAGGTTGGGGTGACCGGTGCCCAGACGGTGATCGAGCCACACCTGCTGGAGGCGTGCGTGCGTGACGTGCTCAACGAGACGGCGCCCCGAGCCATGGCCGTGCTTGAGCCGCTCCGGGTGGTCATCACCAACTTCCCGCAGAGCGCCGTGCGTCCCTCCCCTACGCTCCCCCAACTCCCCTTGCTCCCCTCCCCCACGCTCCTCCCCCTCGCATCATCACCACGCGCAGCCCCGGTGCCCCTCGTGCGCGATGCCGAGTATTCGATGCCACGTGTGATACTGTTTGTGTGATGCCACGTGTGATGCCGTTTGTGTGATGCCACGTGTGATGCCGTTTGTGTGATGCCACGTGTGATGCTGTTTGTGTGATGCCACGTGTGATGCCGTTTGTGTGATGCCACGTGTGATGCTGTTTGTGTGATGCCACGTGCGCGATGACGCGTGTGAGATGACGCGCGTGCGACGATGTTTGTGTGACGCCCCGGCGTGTACGTGGAGCAGCCGTCCAGCGTCTCGGTGCCAAACTTCCCGACGGGTGAGAGCCGCGGCTCCCACTCGGTGCCGCTCGGAGCGACGCTCTACATTGAGCAGTCGGACTTCCGCGAGGTGAGGGGACACGGCGGCACTCCCCACACGTACACACGTACACACGCGTCGTCAAACGTACACAAATGTACACACACGTACACACACGCGTACACACGCGTAAACAAACGTACACACGTATACATACACGTAAACACACACGTGCACGCACACACGTACACATACACACGCACCTCATCGCATACAGCGCTGCCACTCCGCACAGCTCGCACTCCTCACACGCGCCGTACATGGAGGCGGCACGTAGCAGCATCCACCCTCTGGTACCAACCCCTAGGGTCGCTGCTGGCAAATCCCCCGAGCGAGCTCCCTTGCTAGGGGTCTCTCGTGGCCAAAGCCACCTCCCCCCACGTCCCCAGACGAGCCCCGTTCCTCTCCCCGAGTCCCAACAGTAGCAGTCGACATGCCACGGCCACAAGGCCACGTGGCTGTGTCGCCGTCCCCCCACGCGGTTCTCTCGCTTAGAGAAGGTGGCGGGCGGGGTCACCGAGAGGAAGCGGGGAGCCACGAGCCTCGCATCTCACACGGCAGCCGGCGTGCCCCACGCCCCCGCCCCCCCACCTCCATCTGTCCGCGCAGGTCCCGGCGGTCGGTTACCGCCGCCTGGCCCCGTCGCAGCCCGTGGGCCTGCGTCACGCGGGCCTCATCATCTCCCTGCAGGACGTGGTCAAGGTGAGCGGGGGTGGGGGGGGGTGGGGGGGAGGGCGGTCGACTCTCACCGCCGAGCGGTGGCGGTCGCCGCAGGGCTCGGGGCGGCGCTGACGGGAGAGCCGTGTCGTCGTCGTGCGCAGGACGCCGGCGGGCGCGTCGTGGAGCTGCGGGTGACGTGCGCGCCTGCCGACGCGGCCGTCAAGCCCAAGGCGTTCGTCCACTGGGTGGCGCAGCCCCTGCCGTGCGAAGTTCGCCTCTACGAGCGGCTGTGAGTGCGACGGTGCGGTTGGACGTTGCGGGTGCGGTGTGACGCCGTGTGACGCCGTGTGACGCCGTGTGACCGCTGCCCTGTGCGTGTGAGACGCAGCGGTGTGTTCTGCCCGTTGCAGATTCTTGCACAAGAACCCAGAGGACCCGGCTGAGGTACCAGGGGGATTCCTCAAGGACATCAACCCCGTGAGTCTCGCTGCGCGACGCGCGTCTGTGTTCGCACGCCGTCTCCGCGCGTTGGCCGATCGAAGGCGGGCGGGCCGCTGGCCGCGTGCTCCGTGCCTTGCGGTCCGCGCTGTTTGCCGCGTCGTGCGTCGCCGCCGCGTGCCACGTGACGCGTCCCCGCGTGCGCCGCGTCCCCAGGAGTCGATTCGCGTGCTGGAAGGCGCCATGGTGGACAGCTCGGTGCAGGGCGCCGCTCCCTTCTCCAAGTTCCAATTCGAGCGCGTCGGCTACTTCTCCGTGGACCCCGACTCGACGGCCCACAAGGTAGGCGGCTGCGCGGGACGACCTGCGGTGGATTGCTTACGCGGGGCAGCGTACGCGGGCAGCCTACGCGGGGCAGCCTGTGTGTGGGCAGCCTGCGTGAATAGGCTGCGCGGGCAGCCTGTGTGTGCGGATGACAGCTAACCCGCGCGCGGATCGGGCACCGGATGTGGCCCAGAGAAAGCTTGTAGAGAGGCCCGCCGAGAGATAAAGAGAGGCAGAGAGAGGAGTGAGATGAAAGAGCACAGATCTCATCGACGACTGGTGGTCCAATCAGTGCTGGTGTTTTGGAATTGCAGAAACTCAGCGGGATTTTTGAGCCTGATGAGTACCTGGATGGGGGTGGCCACCACGGCTTGCCAGGTTGTTGGTGGAGGCGCCTGAAGCCAAACGCCGACAGAATTACGCCAAGCATCCCAGTGCGGCCAGGACCCTCCCGAAAAGTAGTCTTGAGACTCCGCGAGGCTATGGCTGGGTAAGTAATTGCCGATGGAACATGTTGCTCATTGTGAGACCTCGCTTTCGTTACAGATGGTGTTCAACCGCACGGTGACGCTGAAGGAGGATCCTGGCAAGATGTGAGGCCTAGCGAGGGGTGACCACTGCCTGTGCAGGACAGCCGCGAGTCCCTGGGGAATCCTTTAGCGAGGGTCCTGCCCTTGGGGTAGGCTGCTCCTGCTGGGCTCACGGGGACTCTCACACTCCACCCAATGCCTTTGTTTGTATTGACTGCATTCGGTTCAATAAACGAATGTGTAAATGAGACCACGAGAAACCGGGGGGGGGGTTGTTTATTGGATGCAGACAAACCTGCGGGTCTTTTACGGACACTTCATCGTAATCTCTACACGGGTCCAGATGGCGTGAACACGATGGCAGCCTGCGGAGTTTCAGTCGAGTCTCGGTCTGTGGACGTCATGAAGTCGTTCTCTTAATCTGGTCGACTGGAGCAGTCACGTTTAGTCAGTCAGACACTGAGTATTTCAATGTTGGTGTGAGGAGTGCTCAATTCCATACTCCCCACCCCCCCATATCAGCAGCTCAGCCAATCGGTGAACTCGGTCGATCTCGTTTAACACGCGCATAGCCAATCACCATGCGTGGTCTTCCTCGGCGCTCTGCGGTCTTGAGTGAACGTCACTAAACGACACTGAACGACCTCGGGTAGTCTGCCTCTCCGTTGCGACTCCGTGGGCTCCGCCTCGTCACGGCCGGCCAAGCTTCGGTCTGCGCTGGGCAGCAGGGGCAGCCGCGGTCGATAATCGTTCACGCGGTCACCGTCGGACTAAAACAAACGCTCAACCGACGTACCTTTTCCCGTCGCTAATGTCATCGTTAACGAGATTAACGCCGCAGCTGCAAGGGTTGGGGTGTTATGGCCGATTTGAACTATGGTAACTGCTTCTACGGACGGCGTGGAGCGACGGAAGCTGGCGCGTGTCGCCATGTTAGGAGGGGTGATGGGAGGCAGCGGTGATGGGCGGCTCGGCTGACGGAGTTGGGCTCTCTGTCGCGCCCTCGGGGAAAACATCGCGCCCCTTTCGCCTAAATGTTGTCCACAAATTTCTCCCGCAGCCTCTTGATTCTCGTTTCCTGGAGCAGAGGAGGGGCAAACGAGTATTTAGGAGCTGGTGGAGCGGAAGTGGTCGCACGCTCACTGTGGCTGGAACAGAGCATCTGCCGCTGCTGCGTAGGCAGTGGTTGCACAAGTTGGGCAGTTAACAATGACCACTCGGCATGTTCGTCAGTAACACTGTGGCTTTAAAAAAAAACATAATAGGCTACGGTGTGGGGAATGGCCCTTCTTCATCCTGTGTTAGGGGTTACGATTCTCCACGCAAGGGGGGTGATTGTGGGTGGGGGGGAGCGTAGTGTGGCGGTCAGCGCGCTGCGCTACAAACTCGGCGACCCACGTTCGAATCTCACTCGCAGCCGTCGGTGACAATTATATGAACCGGTTCGGAGCCTCCTCTACATTGAGGCGGCCTTGAACGAGAAGCTGGTGTGGCATTTAAGCATACACACTGGGGAGACAAGTGGCTATTGTCTGTGTGTATGGTGGAGTTCAGAGGGGGGGGCGGTGTGTCACCTTGCTGGGGGCTGCCCTGGCGTCCCCGTGCACGTCCCGTGGGGGCGGTAGGGGCAGCAGCGCCACCGGCTTGGCGGAGGCCACCAGCAGCGAGTGCTTGCCCCTGCCGCCCGGCGACGCCAGCACGGAAAAGACGGGCGGCTTGAACCCCTTCGGCGGCGGAGAGGCTTTCCCGTTGCCGGACGCCGGGGTTTGAGATGGGGAGCCCCTCTTGGCCTGCGGCCCCTGCGTCGCCGGCACCAGCTCCGAGGAGGAGGCCTTGCGAGGGGGGGGCGGCTTGTGGGACAGAGACGACAGCGGTTGGCTCTGCGAGCCGACCGTCACGTAGAGCGCCCGCCCGCGGTCCGGAGTGGCCGGAGCCGCGGGCGGCCGGTGCTGCACGGGCGAGCGACGGTGCTCCACGCGCCGGGACTGGCCGGGCGAGGGTCTTGCGCGGGCCGGGCCCGGCGAGTCGGAGAGTCCGTGCCGGACGAGCGGATCGGACGGGAGCGAGTTGGGCCCGCCGTCGGAGGAGCCGGCGCGGCCGCCGCCTTGCGGGCGGTCTGGCGAGGGCGGGCGGCCTCCGGGGCAGTCTCGGTGGAGGTGGCGCTGCCGCCGTTGCGGAGAGCCGGGGGGCGGCTGAGCGCGGCCGCGCTCGGGGGGGTCGGAGGGCGCGGCGTACGGCGGGGCGACGCGCGACGCCGGGTCCGCGTGGTCGTAGTTGTTGAGGGCGGTGGAGTCGGAGGCCGGAGTGCAGGGTGAGTGGGTGGGCAGCAGCGGCAGCAGGGCGAGCGTTTTGTAGTTGACGCAGACGAACGTGGTGACGAGGGTCAGGGCGCTGTTGATGAGCAGAGCCACCATGATGGCCACCATCAGGATGTCGATGACCTTTTCGGGGGCGGGGGTAACATTCGGTCAACCACGCGTGCGTCTAACCGCACATCCAAGCGTCTAACCGCACGTCCAAGCATCTAACCGCAGACTTAACTAGATACCGACACGTTTATCCACGCCCAACCGAATGACTAGTCGCACGTCTAACTGGACTTCTGCACGTCTAACTGCAAGCAGAGCCTAATGTCTACACACGTTGAACCGCACACATCTCTAACTGAACATCTCACTGTGCAAACCTGAGATTGCCTTCATTCATCAGTGGGAACGCGCGCGTGAGAGTGACGGAGAATTATGTGGGGGAGCCGTGAGGATATGTAGGGAAGCTGGGGGGGTAAAGGGCATGGAGAGATGTTTAGGAGTTGGGGTGAGTGGGAGCCATGAAGAGATGTATAGGAGTTGGGGTGAGTGTGGGAGCCCTGAAGAAATGTTTAGGAGCTGGGAGGGTGAGTGTGGGGGGAGAACTGTAGAGCCCCGATGGGCGGCGCGTGCCTTCATGCTGGAGTCCGGCTCCGTGAAGAGCGCGATGGAGCGTGGGAGGCTCACGCAGAGGTACCCGGCCGCAGCCGCCGTCACGGGGCTGGTGAGGCCGCTCAGCGCCAGCAGCACCTCCACCTGGCGCCACGCGGCACGCCGTGTCACTCGTGACACTGATTACACGGTCACTCCTAATGGTGTCACTCATCACGGTGTCACATCACCCGCGTCTTCCAGCGCTAAAGCTGTAACGTCTCGGCGGCACGCGGTGTCGTGCGGGAGCTCGACGCACGTCAGTGTCACGCAGCATCGTCATCATCGTCACACGGCCTCTGTCGCGTCATCCACACAGCAGGCGGGCGGCCGTGTACGTACGAGGGGCATGGACGGGTGCTCCGAGGCCACGTGTCCCGCGACAGCAGCTGGGAATCCCTGCCGCAGCAGCAGCGGCAACAGGGGGAGCAGCAGAAGGGATGGGGAGAGAGTGAGGGGTGAGTGTGTGCGTTGTGGGGAGCGGAGGCGCAGCGGTTAGAGCATTGTGCGAAACGAACCCGGCGACCCGAGTAAGTCGAGTCCCCGCTCGCGACCAATGACAGTGGCGAATATTTGAACCGGTCCTAGGTCTCCACTAGGTCGGCTCAGCCTAAAAATGTGTACCCTGGTGCGGTGCGTGAACGTCGGCCCTGGTACTGGGCCACCCATCCCTTCGTGTGGTGTGGTGGCCTTCATAAATGCTCGCCGGTGGTGTAACGAGCGTGGGGCCCATGCTACGAGTTGGGCCCCCCCCGTGATAACCACCATGAGATCTGATTTCAACAACGGTGTCAAAGAATCGAACACTAAATTTAAAACGCGGTTAAATGTTTTTTATGTGAATGTTTTCATTCACTTGCCACGCTTTGTTTTGATTTAATGAGAGCGGTAACGTTTGGCGACCGCTCTGGACAAAACAAATATTGGGCCCCACCTGACCGAGTGCTCAATGTCGTCACTACGCCACTGGTGCTCGCGAACAGCACTTGCCCCCACAACTCTGGGAAGGCTATACGGGGGATCTTTGTCTGGGGTGCGAGTGCCTCGACTCGGTGTGGCTCTGGGTGCGTGTGGCGAGCGCCGCTCACCGCGATGAGAGTCCAGAGGCAGGCCTGCAGCGAGGCCGAGTGCGCTGACCACGGCTGAAGGGTCAGCGCCATGACCCCGCCAAAGAGGGCGAACACCCCCCCAACCACCTCCAGGGTCTGCACACAGACACGCGCAACAAAGACAAAGATCCCCCGCATAGCCTCCACGGACTTTTGCGGCAGGTGCTGTAAGCGAGTTGCAGCTCTGTGAAGGCTGGCGCGGTACACGTATGTGAGTGTCGCGTGGCGAGGACCAGGCCCGGCCGCCTTTATCTCTCCCGATGTTTCCACTGGGGAGACAAAGGCGGTCGGGCGTGGTGCTGGCGACCCACCCTTTCGTGTACCGTGCCGGCCTTTGTAGGTGCTCGCTAACGGCACTTGCCCCAACAGTCTGTTAAGGTTATACGGGGGGTATTTGTCTTTGTTGGAGAGCAAACCCACAACTTATTTACAATTGGGTACGACGTTCGTCGCTGGCGATTGCAACTAGATTCGTCATCAGGCGGGGTAGTTACAGAAGTCATTCGGGATTGCGACACGTACACATCACTGAGCTTGTTCCAGCACACTCCCACGAGCCAGGTTCCAACCTGCTGAGCTTGCACGAGGTGTGAAGAGCTCGCGGCCCAGGTTGGTTTGGCCGCAGACCGCGGTACTCACCGCGCAGAGGCGCACGGCGCGCACCGGGAAGACGTGCCCGTCCCACGCCGCGCCCTGGCTCTTCAGGTTGTACTGAAACAGTCGCACCGCCAGTCATTCATCATCACCATCATTGTTACCACCATCATCGTCATGACCACCATCATCATGACCACCATCATTACCACCATCATTACCATCATCATTACCACCACCATCATCACCGCCACCATCGTCAATCACCACCACCATCGTCAATCACCACCATTATTACCACCATCATTACCATCACCACCATCATCACCGCCACCATCATCAGCCATGATCTATCCCCAGCTGGATGAAGGACTGTCCAAGCCTTCGCCAAATGCCACGGTCCTGCAACAATATCTATATTGTATAGCACCAGTGCATGCGCATTATGGTCGTGCAGGTGGTGGGGACAGTGCAGGTGGTGGTAGTGCACCTGGCCTGGCACAGGCGCCGTGGTGACGTCACGGTCACTTCGTGGCGAATGGCGAGTATTGGTGGTGGTAGTGCAGGTGGTGGTGGTAGTGCAAGTGGTATTGCAGGTGGTGGTAGTGGTGATGGTGCAGGTGGTGGTGGTAGTGCAAGTGGTGGTGGTAGTGCAAGTGGTGGTAGTCCAGGTGGTGGTGGTGGTAGTTACAGATCTACTGACGGCCCCAGGGCAGCAGCGCTGGCGGGCACGCACCACCAGCAGCAAGTGCACCACCACGAGCATCTCCAGCAGGAGCAGCAGCAGTAGGTTCGTGTTGATCTGCAAGACGCGCCGCGTCCCCGTGGTGAGCGGTGTCTCTGGTGAGTGGCGAGCAAGGTCTAATAAATGGTGAGTGGTGTCTGGTGGGTGGTGTGGTGAGTGATGTCTCTGGCTAGGAACGAGTTGTGTCTGGTCAATGCGTGGGTGATGACTCGTAAGTCGTTAGACCGAGGCGTGACGCTACAACATGGTAAAAGCTCGTGGTTGTTGCTGATGGTGGTGGTGGTGGCTCTAGAGGGGTTGGTGTACTCGCGACAGGAGCGGGGCTTACGCTGAGCATGGAGGGCCGAGCCACCAGCATGCACCCGTACCACAGGAGGCACAGGGTGCTCATGGTGAACGTGCTCACGGCCAGCAGGTGAAAGCAGCTCACCTGGCACACAGAGAAGATCAAGATCACCCGCGTAGCCTTTAATAGACTTGTGGCAAGTGCTGTTAGCGAGCACCTACGAAGGCCGGAGCGGCACACGACGGGGTGATGTGGCCAGGACCACGCCTGGCCCACTTTCTCTCCCCAGTGCCGATGATTACACACAGCTCCAGGTAGTAATTTTATGCTGAGTTGACCTAGGGGAGGCCAAGGACCGGCTCAGATATTCGTCACTGGCGTCGGTGGCCCGTGAAAGGGGAATCGTACTCGAGTCGCCAAGTTCGGTAGCGCAGCACTAACCACTGCACCACCGCTCCCTGCACGCACTTACGAAAGAGCACGTCCAAGGCAACGTGAGCCTCGCGTGCACACGCACAGAGGCGACGCCGACCTCGCCTGAGCGCAAGGCGACTAACGGTCGATCCCCCACCCACCGCGGAGATTTTCAGGGGTGGGTAACGTCCGGCCCGCGGGCCATATGAGGCCCGCGAAATCATTTGTTGTGGCCCTGCCAAGGCAACCGCAGGCGGGACTCGAAATTCAATAAATCTAGGAGCAAATCTGGAAAAGCAGTTGCGAGTAGCAACATCATCAATACAAGCTAACATCACCACACCTCACCAAAGAGAAGCAGTTCCAGCCATCACATTAGGGGTGAGTTAATTAAATGTTTGACCAAATATAACAGGCTAATTTTTAAGTTGGTAATTTTGGATGGCCCGCGAAAGATGTTATAAATATCCAAATGGCCCTTGGCAGAAAAAAGGTTCGCCACCCCTGGATTAAAGTGACGCACGACCTCGTTCCCAATTGCCTCCTCCGCGATCGCGCTCTCGGCGTCACGCCGTCGGACGAAACATCCGCAAAAGGTGCTCGGCTAACAACAGACTTGCTCCGACTGTCCGGCAGCGGCTACACGGCGGAGGCTCCTTGACTCTGTGGGTGAGCGTGGCGGTGACGGGCACGGTGTCCGCTGGCGGGCGGACGTGCGGTGCCCACCAGACAGGTCTTCCTCGAGCCGATGTAGAGGTGCACCGTGGCCGCAGGGATGCACTGCGCACGCACAGGGGTGGCATCGACAGCCGTCAACGTCAACCCACGGCGCGGTTCGCGGGTCGCGCATCGCCGTAGCACTGGAAATCGTCGCTCCGGGCCTGGGGTCCAAATCTAAAACTTTTACGAGCCGAGCCCGCAGCCGCTTGTCGTGTAACGCTTGCGTGTTCGGTCGAGGCTGCGGCGCAACTGTCGAGCAGCGTGCAGGCGGTGAAACTGCACCGGGGCCCAACCAGAATCGTCAGGCATTTGCCAGAATTGCAGCACTGGTTCAGCACAAGGCAAACTATGGATTGATTCCGGCGTCTCATCAGCAGAGTCGGTCTTTGCTTTGAACCAAAGCTGGTGAACTGCCAGATGTACCGAGGCAATATATACGACCTGCTTCGACACAAATCTATAAACTGTATAATATAATTACACAACACAATATAAAGATCGGACGCTTGCGTGGTGAATCCGGTCGCCAGCGTTTGCCTGGTAAGAAAGAAATAGTTACGTTTTATTTGTATATATTAAATTTAGATTTAAAGCTTTTGTGACTGCAGAGATTCATATTCTTGGTTCTTTCGGTAAAGTCACGTAGAAGGGAAACAATAAAATAATAAAAAATATGAAACAATATAATTCTCACGACGTTTCGACTGCAACACAAGCAATCATCCTCAGGTGTGAAAACCACAACAAGAAAATTTGAAATTTTCTTGTGATTTTCACACCTGATGATGATTGCTTATGTTATTTTATTGTTTCCCTTCTACCACAACAAGAAAATTTGAAATTTTCTTGTTGTGGTTTTCACACCTGATGATGATTGCTTGTGTTGCAGTCGAAACGTCGTGAGAATTTTATTGTTTTATATTTTTATTATTTATTGTTTCCCTTCTACGTGACTTTACTGAAAGAACCAAGAATATGTATACAGTGAGGGAAAAAAGTATTTGATCCCCTGCTGATTTTGTACGTTTGCCCACTGACAAAGAAATTATCAGTCTATCATTTTAATGGTAGGTTTATTTGAACAGTGACAGACAGAATAACAAAAAAATCCAGAAAAACGCATGTCAAAAATGGTATAAATTGATTTGCATTTTAATGAGGGAAATAAGTATTTGACCCCCTCTCAATCAGAAAGATTTCTGGCTCCCAGGTTTCTTTTATAGAGGTAACGAGCTGAGATTAGGAGCACACTCTTAAAGGGAGTGCTCCTAATCTCAGCTTGTTACCTGTATAAAAGATACCTGTCCACAGAAGCAATCAATCAGATTCCAAACTCTCCACCATGGCCAAGACCAAGGACTCTCCAAGGATGTCAGGGACAAGATTGTAGACCATTGCCAAGCAGCTTGGTGAGAAGGTGACAACAGTTGGTGCGATTATTCGCAAATGGAAGAAGCACAAAAGAATTGTCAATCTCCCTCGGCCTGGGGCTCCATGCAAGATCTCACCTCGTGGAGTTGCAATGATCATGACAACGGTGAGGAATCAGCCCAGAACTACACGGGAGGATCTTGTCAATGATCTCAAGGCAACTGGGACCATAGTCACCAAGAAAACAATTCGTAACACACTACGCCGTGAAGGACTGAAATCTTGCAGCGCCCGCAAGGTCCCCCTGCTCAAGAAAGCACACATACATGCCCGTCTGAAGTTTGCCAATGAACATCTGAATGATTCAGAGGACAACTGGGTGAAAGTGTTGTGGTCAGATGAGACCAAAATGGAGCTCTTTGGCATCAACTCAACTCGCCGTGTTAGGAGGAGGAGGAATGCTTCCTATGACCCCAAGAACACCATCCCCACCGCCAAACATGGAGGTGGAAACATTATGCTTTGGGGGTGTTTTTCTGCTAAGGGGACAGGTCAACTTCACCGCATCAAAGGGACGATGGACGGGGCCATGTACCGTCAAATCTTGGGTGAGAACCTCCTTCCCTCAGCCAGGGCATTGAAAATGGGTCGTGGATGGGTATTCCAGCATGACAATGACCCAAAACACACGGCCAAGGCAACAAAGGAGTGGCTCAAGAAGAAGCACATTAAGGTCCTGGAGTGGCCTAGCCAGTCTCCAGACCTTAATCCCATAGAAAATCTGTGGAGGGAGCTGAAGGTTCGAGTTGCCAAACGTCAGCCTCGAAACCTTAATGACTTGGAGAAGATCTGCAAAGAGGAGTGGGACAAAATCCCTCCTTAGATGTGTGCAAACCTGGTGGCCAACTACAAGAAACATCTGACCTCTGTGATTGCCAACAAGGGTTTTTCCACCAAGTACCAAGTCATGTTTTGCAGAGGGGTCAAATACTTATTTCCCTCATTAAAATGCAAATCAATTTATAACATTTTTGACATGCGTTTTTCTGGATTTTTTTGTTGTTATTCTGTCTCTCACTGTTCAAATAAACCTACCATTAAAATTATAGACTGATCATTTCTTTGTCAGTGGGCAAACGTACAAAATTAGCAGGGGATCAAATATTTTTTTCCCTCACTGTATATATTGTTAAGTGATTTGTTTACCTTGACTGCACTTTGCACTCCTCTCGTGTTTGTGTGCTGTTGTTGTAACGTTCTCACCCGCCCCTACTGGACGTCTGTGAAAAGAGCTTCATAGCTCATCGGATTCCTCCTGCAATATAAATAAAGATTCTGGTTCGAATTCTGATCTCGTGTGTCAAGAGGAGAGGAGCGGCTCCGCGAGTGGCGTCGTGCAACCCGTGTCCTCACGTGCAACCCGCGTCCTCACGTGGAACCCGCGTCCTCACGTGGAACCCGTGTCCCCACGTGCAACCTGTGTTCCCACGTGCAACCCGTGTCCCCACGTGCAACCCGCGTCCTCACGTGGAACCCGCGTCCTCACGTGGAACCCGCATCCTCACGTGGAACACGTGTCCTCACGTGCAACCCGCGTCCTCACGTGGAACCCAGGTCCTCACGTGCAACCCGTGTCCTCACGTGCAACCCGTGTCCTCACGTGGAACCCGCGTCCTCACGTGCAACACGTGTCCTCACGTGCAACCTGCGTCCTACGTGTAACCTGCGTCCTCACATGGAACCCGCGTCCTCACGTGGAACCTGCATCCTCACGTGCAACACGTGTCCTCACGTGGAACCCGCGTCCTCACGTGCAACCCGCGTCCTCACGTGCAACCCGCGTCCTCACGTGGAACCCGCATCCTCACGTGGAACCCGTGTCCTCACCACGGCGCCCGCACAGCGCAGGTAGCCCACATCTTCAGGCCCCAGGCAGCCCGTGTACACGCTGGCACCCGACACCAGCCAGAGCGCCACCTGCACACGCGAAGAACCCAGGGCCACCGCTCGAAACGTCGCCCTATCACGGCGTGCTTGGGCTAACGTTGGCATGACATTTGAACCGTTGGACCAACATTCCGTATTTACTGGGGATATACGCTTATATATATTTAAAAAGAAGAGTTGTCGACGTTTTATGAGCATACGCAGGGATTAATTTCAGCCGGTGCTGCCCGGGACTGAGCTCCTGAAAATATTTCCAAACCTCGACTTGTATCGTAAAAAAAAACTGTTAAGGGGCCAAGTCCGGGGTGGGGGGTCGGGTTAGGGTGGATGGGGGGCTCCCCCATCCACCCCCCCCCCGGAAAACATGCCATGAAAAATGTTTACTTAAAACTTTCGTGACTGCAGGAATTCATATTCTTTGGTTCTTTCGGTAAAGTCACGTAGATAGAAAAATAAAATAAAAATAAGTGAATAAAATAATAAAAATAAAGTAAAAAACTAAAAAACACTCATGTAGACTGTAGCCTGGTTCTTAATCGGAGTGAGTGTACTGCCAGTCTATAATGTAGACTTAGCTGGTTATTAAGTTTGGTGACTGTACTGGTAGTCTATAATGTAGACTGTAGCCTGGTTCTTAACCTCGGTGAGCGTGCTGGCAGTCTATAATGTAGACTGCAGCCTGGTTGTTAACATCGGTGAGCGTACTGGCAGTCTATAATGTAGACTGTAGCCTGGTTCTAAACCTCGATGAGCGTACTGGCAGTCTATAATGTAGACTGTAGCCTGGTTCTTAACCTCGGTGAGCGTACTGGCATTCTATAATGTAGACTGTAGCCTGATTTTCAAGCTGATGAGCGTATTGGCAGTCTGTAATGTAGACTGTAGCAATGGTTATTAAAAACTGAGTGAGGTGACGACCGCTTGTGTTGCGATCGAAACGTTGTGGCTTTTTGTTTTTTATCTTATTTTTTATTACTGAAAGAACCAATAATAAGTCTACATTATAGACTGCCAGTACGCTCACTCAGGTTAAGAACCAGTCTACAGTCTACTTTACAGACTGCCAATACTCTCACCAGCTTAAAAACCAGGCTACAGTCTACATTATAGACTGCCAGTACACTCAATCAGTTTAATAACCATTGCTACAGTCTGCATTACAGACTGTCAGTACACTCACCGGATTAAAAACCAGGTTACAGTCTACATTATATACTGCCAGTACACTCACCGAGGTTAAGAACCAGGCTACAGTCTATATTATATACTGCCAGTACACTCACCGAGGTTAAGAACCAGGCTACATTTTGATTTAAAGCTTTCGTGACTGCAGTAATTCATATTCTTAGTTCTTTCGGTAAAGTCACGTTGAAGGGAAACAATAAAATAATAAAATATATATTAAACAATAAAAATTCTCACGACGTTTATTGTTTTATATATATTTTATTATTTTATTGTTTCCCTTCAACGTGACTTTACCGAAAGAACTAAGAATATGAACCAGGCTACAGTCTACGTTATAGACTGCCAGTACACTCACCGAGGTTAAGAGCCAGGCTACAGTCTACATTATAGACTGCCAGTACACTCACTGAGGTTAAGAGTCAAGTTACAGTCTACATTATAGACTGCCAGTACACTCACCGAGGTTAAGAACCAGGCTACAGTCTACGTTATAGACTGCCAGTACACTCACCGAGGTTAAGAACCAGGCTACAGTCTCCATTAGTGTTTTTTATTCACTTTATTTTTTTATTATTATTTTTCTATCTACGTGACTTTACCGAAAGAACCAAAGTATATGCCATGAGAAATGAATGCCCGAGCACACGTGGTTACGGTAAGGAGGTTGTGGGCAGGCGAAGCAACAGGCGTCAAAGTCAATTCTCCCTGCTTGACTGAGCATTGAGGTGCATTTGGTGCGTATCTCCTGTTCACATCTCTGCAGAGTCAGTGGAGGGAATTCCACAGTCATATGGCGGGGGCGAATCTGTCCCATAGGACAACCACTGTTTACTTCCCCACAACGCGATACTTATTTTAATCAACTCCGAAGGGACGATGGGCTGAGACGAAGTTCAACATACATACAAGCAACGCAATGACGCTCACCCCGAGCTCTCATTACTCTGACAGTGCATTGTCTTTGTTCTGTACGCCTTTTGGCGTCCTCTGGTCTAACACCGTTTGAGACGAGGCTCAAAAGAAAGCTGTCTCTGGTGTGGACCAATCAGTTTCAAAGACAATGCAGATATTATCAGAATGTTTTGTTTGCATGTTCACCACAAGTATTGTGGTTAATGCAGACATGATTCCTTGCAAAAGGTTTCAGTTTGGTGTTTTAACAACTCAACACCTGTTTTGTTGCCAGATAAAAGGGGGAAAACCTATTCTCATATTTTGGTACTGGCAAAGGAGGTCCCATGATGTAGAAGCAACGCAAAGTTGACACTAACACATACACAAACCTGTCAACCCCTTATCAGTTACCTTATTACAGACCAATTCAGATCTTATTAGTCACCCCGTGTCCTTATAAAGCTCAATGTTCATCCTACAAAGTCCCATCACAAAGGAAGAAACACAATCAAATAGACAAAAAAATGTGTTTGCCCGTAATTGAAACGTCTGTACGCCGCATAGACCTGAAAACTCAATTTCCCTGCACAAGAATACGGGGCAAACCGTCTGGTTGACAGGGTAGGCATACAGTATATATACTGCATATATACTGTAAAGTATACCGCAGGCAATCGCGACTGATGTGGATTCTAATCGTGTTCTAGATGGGCTAAGACGCTGCGAATTGAACAAATCGTCGAATCGAGTCGCAAACTCCATCACCGCGCCGCAGGAGGGGTGGGGGCGGTGGTCGATGTCAGTGACGGGGCAGGTCCCAGGCGAGACACGCCAGCAAGGAGATTGGTCTCTCGTTACAGCTCCACCATGACCGCCAGGAGGAGGATGATGATGATGAGGAAGGTGCCGCCTCCAACTCCCTCGTGTCTCACTCACCCCGATCGCGATGTTCGTGGTCGCCGCCACTGTCTGAGCGCACGAGGCCATTGGCCTGGCCGGGAGTCGTCCCTGAGGAGGGTCCCCCTCGCCGCGCCACCTGGTCGCTATGTAGACCCCCTCGCCGCCTCTTCTCGCTTCTATAAAGGTCCCCTCACTCTATCGCCTGTTCGCTGTTAGGTCCCCTTGCTCCGCCTCCTGATCTCTGAGGTTCCCCCGGCTGACACGAAGGTCTTCTCGCTCCGTCTGCTCGTCGCCTCCGATATTCAGTGATCACCCCGCTCCATCTCCTCGCCACTATGCAGGTCACCCCCCCGCCCCGCCCCCTGCCCACCTCGCTGCCTCCTGCGCTCCTCTGACTCCGTCTCTCGCTCCGTCCCCGCCGCTCGCTATGAGGGTGCCCCGCTCCTTCCTCTGGCTGTACCGCGGTGACCCCAGGACTCCCCGTGTGCCCCCCCCTCTTACCCCGTGCCCCCCCTATTACCCCCCCACCCGTCCTTCTTACCCCGTGCCCCCCTCCCTATTACCCCCCACCCGCCCCTCTTACCCCGTGCCCCCCCTATTACCCCCCCACCCGCCCCTCTTACCCCGTGCCCCCCTCCCTATTACCCCCCCCACCCGCCCTTCTTATCCCGTGCCCCCCTCCCTATTACCCCCCCCACCCGCCCCTCTTACCCCGTGCCCCCCTCCCTATTACCCCCCACCCGCCCCTCTTACTCCGTGCCCCCCTCCCTATTACCCCCCCCCCACCCGCCCCTCTTACCCCGTGCCCCCCTCCCCTCTTGCTCGTCTCCCTCCGTGGCGCCACAAAGGCGCGAGTGCTGCTAGAGCCGAGAGCCGTTTCCATGGCTCGGATCGGCTTGGCTCGAATACTGATGAGGGCAGCTTGGCCACAGCCTGGGGGGGGGGGGGTCCCTGCCAGGGCCCCCTCGCTGAAGGTCGTCTCCTCGCTCAGGTCCCCTCGTCACGGTGTGCCCCTTATCATCGTCAGGCCACCTCGTTAGTCGACCCCCCCTCTGGAGGACTCGGAGCCTGTTGTTGTTGTTGCTGCTCGCTCCGCCACGCGAGTTCGTTTCTACAGTCCCCTTGCCACTGCTGGATGAAGGCCTCCTCAAGCCCGGTCGGTCATGGGGAGGTTGTTTGGCCATACTTCACCACGCTGGCCTGATCTCGTTGGCCAAGGTGGCGGGATAGAGGGACTGGAGAGGGTGGGGCAGGGCTGGAGCCAAGGACCGCCTCCGATATCGATCGCCGTGGATTTTAGGGACTAGAACTCGGATCGCTGGGTTCGCAGCGCAGCGTGGTGGCCGGAGCGCCACCGCTCCTAACCCGCACACGAAGCGCCACGAGGTCAGTCGGACCAGTCAACGGGGGTGGCAGGGCCATCCATAGCCCCGCACCTTCAGTGTCTCAACCCTGCGAGTTGGATTGAGCCGCTAAGAGCAGCGCTGTCACTGTGCAGCGCGGTAATCATTGCGCCAAGGCCCCTCCTTCATGTCAATGCCCCCCCCTCCATTCCTCCTCTCTCCAATTACCCCCCCCCATACCCCTGCCCCAAAAAACCCTCAAAGTATCCGTCTGCTCTAAAAGAAATGGCCCTTCCTCACAGCGCGTTACTCGAGAGGCCAGGAGCAGAGAGACAGAGTGGAGATTCAGAGTTGGAGGCTCTGATGAGAATTACATTTTAAACTTACTTTCCGATTACCACTTGTTGTTTTAATAGGCACGTACATAGCGACACTAACAGTGGCTATTGAGTAACGGACAAAGCCCCTTCAATAAAATCACACAAGTGTTACCGATAAATGATAAACGAATTCAAAAACATTATAATTGGCGTAGCTCCCTTGAATGAATTCCCTCTCGGGCCGAGCGAACGCTTTGCAAGTCCCCCCCCCACCCCCTCGTCCCCCACTCGCCCCGCCCCCTCCTCGTGACAGGTCACGGATCGCAACGTGCACCGCGCCTCACCTGGCTGACTGGCGCGCGTGCGTCTGTGCAGGTGGAGGTGTGCAGGTTTTGGGCACGTGCAGCGGTGAGTCCAGCATCGTGGTTATCGCGCTGGGCTACAAACCAGGCGATCCAAGTTCGATTTACGCTCATGGCCAACACCGGATCTGAACAGGTCATGGACCTGCCCTAGGTCGGCTCAGCCTCGAATGAGTATCTGGTGCGGCGTGTAATCATTGCTATTCAGGAGACAAAGGCGGCCGGGCGTGGTGTTGACCAGCCACCCCCTCGTGTGTCGTTCAGGTCTCGCGAACAGCACTAGCCCCAATATTATTTTAAGGCTATACGGGGTTATTTGTCTTTGTAGATAGCTGTGCAGGGCTGAGTCTACGTCAGGAGGGTCGTGCTACTGCTGCATTGGGGTGTTCATTTATAAGATGTTTGTTTATTATTATTATACCACGTGGGAGGAAACCGGAGCACCTTCAGAAAACCCACGCCTTGCAAGAGGGAGGCAACACTCCATCCCCGTACAGATGGACACAAATGGTGATTAGTCCACTCGCTGCACTGCCTTCTCCTGGCCAGCCAGCGTATGGCAGTTCCTCGACTCCCACGGGAAGGGAGATTCACTTAATCTGTGTGTGATCCACCAACCCTCCCTGCAGCCTCCACAGCGCTGGATTACAGGCAGCCACGTGCAGATATAGCTACCATTCCTCGGCTAAGGGGCCGTCCATAAATGACGTCACGCACCTGGGGGGGGGGGGTCAGACATTTGTGACGATGTGTGACGAGGGGGGGGGGGGGGGGTTTGAGAAAGGTGACGCCACACCAAAATGCGCAACTTTAAATAAGTATAGACAACACGTTCCACTTCATTGAATAGACTTTTTAATAAATGTTTTGTCCTACAACATCAGAGTGCAGCGCCACACTAAATACGCACTACAATGACAATAGTTTAAAGCGATTTGAAGCATGTTTTATATTTTTGGGGGGGGGGGGGACGGCAGGGCTTTGTGACGTCATATTTGTGGGGTATGACTTTTTGTGATGCCGTGTGACGAGGGGGGGGGGGGGGGGGGGTCAAAAATCGTCCAAAATCGCGTGACGTCATTTATGGACGGCCCCTTAGGCCTTCCCCCAACCTGCAGGCGATGTTCGAAAATATGTAAAGGGACAGGTGCGAATCGGAATAGGTGTGCATTGTTGAAGGTGTTGGGCGCTTGTGATAATATATCGCTGGGCTCATCTGTACTGGTGTTATTTTTTTATGCAGGTGTGAATCTGTACAGGTAGGAGTCTACAGGTGTGAATCTGCACAGGTGAGAAACTACATGTGTGGCCGTATGAAATGAAGTCGTGGGTCATATTAATTGAAGTGGTGGGTCACATGATATTACGTTCGACCCACGCCATATGTGCGTTCGTCGCTCGTTGGACCAACAAGGTTGGCTTGTGGTTGGAACTGTCGGACCAAAGTTGGCCCAACGCTCCATCATGATTGCTGGGCACGTCCTCAATTGCAGTGTACATGAGCCATCTACGCCTCCTACAGGGGACACGTGGCAGGGGCTCTCCTGAAGAAATCGAGTCACGGGAAAAAATAAGAATAATAATTTTTACCCTTTCTGGCAATAAACCTTATTGTTATTTTTTTATACTTTGATACGAGCAAAACCAGTCACGAGCAATGTGCTTGTGCCACACGAATCGGTTGACACGGAGCGATCTTCACTCAAAACTGCTCTAGAGGAGTTGTACACCCCTAGCTGCCACTGCTAGTCAGTGGCCTAAAATAAAATAAAATGGTTCGCTCCGGATGACCGCTGCAAAGTACGATCTGTATTTAGATTTAGTGTGCTGATCTTAAAGGTGCATTGAAAAAATTGATACTCCGACTGATGCTCCTGTTGTTGTGGAGTGACTCATGCAGCCAGCTATGACTCTAGGGTTTGGTGTTACATGTTGTTTGTCGTTTATTGTGAAAATTCGGTCACAGTTCCTAAGATCACTGTTACATTGCTTTTATGGCTTAATTTTGGTGATGTCGAAAACGTTTTTTGGTTTGGCCATGTTTGTTTGTTGTAGTACGGAGTTAGACTCATGGCCTTAATCTAAGTTGTCTTGTGGTTGTTGTTTGACTTGCATCCCACTGGGATTTTTGCACACAACGTTGGTGTACGGTGTTTTTTCAGGAATATTTTGCTGTTTTTTCCTGGATTTTCTGTTTGCACAGTCACATAGTGACTTTAAGATGTTTTCTTGTTCATGTTTTTTGTTTGTTGCGGTTCCACCCGATTCAAGAGCCGAATGGCTCACAGGGCTCTACCAAATAAATGAAAACTGAAATGAAATGAAAACGGAGTGGCTGCCCGCGTACTGCCCGCTTAACCACCCCACGTGACGGCCCCGGCTGAGACGTCACGTGGGCAAGATGGCCGCGCCCAGCTCCCCGCACGGCGAGTGGAGCCGAGTTTATCGAGTCGCGGGTTGTCGTCGTCGTCGTTTGAGTCGTACTGGGCGACTCTCCGTCGCTGTAACTACTCGTAGAGAGCGGGTGTCTCGTCTGTGCTTGGCGGTGTCGTGGCGCTGAGCGCACTGCGTCGCGACACCGCGGCGGTTTGAGCTCCCGGCCCAGCGGCCCGCCACGGGTCGCCTCTGAGCCGGAGATGCGTGCGGCAGCGGCGCCGGGCAGCGCGGTGAAGTCTTAAACAACCCCCGGGGCTAACGCGACTGGCAGTGGCACTGTTGTTCATGAATCCGCTCGTGCGGTGCGTTTTGTCGTTTTCGTGGCGAGCGAGGGCCGTCCGTGATCCCCGTAATGAGTGCGAGCCGTGTTCCCGCCAATTCTGCCCCCCCATCCCCTCTACATTAATGTCTTCCCGCATCCTCTCGATCCTCCATATCTTTGTGTACACCCAACCTGCGTGTCGCTGTATCCCTCTACCACCGTATCATGCCCCGTAACCCCCTCCCCTCTACCCAACTATCGTTAGAGACCTCTACCCACCACCACTCTACCTCCGTGTTCCTGTATCACCTGCAGTCTCTCTAATCCTTCTACCCCCCCTCTCTCTGCTCCTCTGCCACAGGCGTCAGGGCCCCCCCGCCGAGCGCCGGGGGGTTGAGCCCCGAGGCGCGGGTGGCTCGCATCGCGCAGGACATGGCGCAGCGGCGAGAGGCGCAGGGCCGCGGGGTCCGCCTCGCCTGGGGCCTCCTGCACCTCTCACTAGCAGCCATCGCCTGCCTCGACCTGTGAGTGAGGTCGTGCGAAGTCGCGTCAGGTTGTGTCAAGTCGCGTGGGACCACGTCGGGTCACAATGACCTGGGGAGGGAATCTTGGTGGCGATCTTAAGCCGGGTTCCTAGCTGAGCGATACGTTGAGCAACCACAAAGCTTTGTATCGGGTGAGGGGGTGAGCACCTGCCGCTTTCTCGACATATGAAGCAATTGGCGGGACC